GCTCCCTCTGTCAGCTCCAGGTCCCCATGCAGGGACATGAGAGAAGCCTCCCACAAAGATGGTGATTTGTTTGCTGTATACTAATCCTGTATCAAATAATAATAATACATTATTTTATTTTTATTATTATTTTACTGCGGTTTTGTGTCAGTAAAATAATAATAATAATAATAATAACAACAACAACAACGATCGGCACACTGGGTGCAGTGCCTAAAGACCTTGGTCTGCACTTAAACACAATTGGCGCTGACAAGATTACCATCTGCCAGCTGCAAAAGGCCACCTTACTGGGATCTGCACGCATTACTAGCCGATACATCACACAGTCCTAGACACTTGGGAAGTGTCCAACCTGTCATCCAATACAACAGCCAGCAGAGTGATCTTGTTTGCTGTAGACTCATCTTGCGTTTCTAATAATGATGATGATGATGATGATGTATTTGTTGCTTTCCTCCATTTGTGGCTTGAGGTGGGGTACAACTTAGGTAAAAGGGTGATGTGGAACAAAGAACTATCAAAATACATACAACAAATATACACTGGTAAAATGCAGCCTAAAGTTTAGCCAACCAGGACCTTTGGGGGGGGGGGGGGGGGGGGGGTGACCTCATTTTGGCATTGAAGCATGGATATTTTTCCTGTCACGGTACCAGCATATACGGAAGAACAGTGCCCTTGAGGAACATCTCCTTCCCCACTGACCTGCCAACTACAAATGATGTAAAAGGGTAAAGCAAGGGTGGGAATCATGTGGTGCTCTAGATGTTGAATTGCAATTGTTGAAGAGGGGCTTCGGAGGTTAACTCTGCCCAATGCAACAGAAAGGAAAGCTGGAACTGCACTTTAAAGACACCTGGAAGGTTGTTTCAGACTACATGAGCAATACTCCCCAGTCAGGCACCTGCATTCCCCTGGCAGGCTCCAGTGTAAGCACCAGAGGCAGATTGAGAGCGGACGCCAGGTGATGAAGTTTTTCACTGGCATCTCCTCCATACACTTCATCACACCAGAGAATGAATCCACTTTAAATCCGGTTTCTGGCTCCTGCAGAATTCTGGGGTTTGTACTTTAGTGAGGCTGTTAAAGGCTCCTCCCTCAACTACGAAGCCCAGAATTCTGCAGGAGGCAGAAACTGGAGTTAAAGCGGATTCATTCTCTAGTGTGATGAGGCCATAATAAGCTGCATCCTCAACTGCCACGAACCACAGAGCTGTAAGACACAACAAGGGCCATCCAGTCCAACCCCCTGCCATGCAGGAAAACGCCATCCAAGCACCCTCAACAGATGGCCACCCTTCCAAGCTTGCACACAGCTTCTCCTGCTTAGCAGAGTGTGCCGATGTGTGTTTGTCCCCATGGTATGCTAACAGTATAGCCAGGCAGTTGAAGACAAACACCGGATGGCCAGAACCCCGCAGGGGTGTTGTCCTTCCGCCTCGCCCGGCGCCACGTTGGAGGCCTGAACCTCAGCCTGGGCAGAAGGCGCTTCCCGCCTCCCTCTCTCTTCCCCCTTTGACCTGAGCAGAATCAAGGCAGGGCGAGAGGAGAAGGTTGCTGTTCGTTCTCTTGCAGAGACATGTGAAGGAACTGGGGGAAGGAGGCCAAAGGGGGTTTTGACTCCAACCCATTCTTGTGGCGCTTGGCTTTTCAAGAGTCGGGCTGGCAATGGCGCGACCCAGAGAGAGAGGTTTGGCAAGGCGGGAAATGTAGGTCAGGGCGTCGCCGGGAGGCTCCTCGGCGGAGGGAGGAGGGGGAGCAGGGCGAGGGCAGGCCGGGGCTTGGGCCCGCATTCCTCAGCGGCGACGCACAGGCCTCCGCCCCGCCCCCGCCGCCTGCTTGCCTGGCCTGCCTGCCTGCGGAAGCGGGGAATTTCCTGGCTCCAGAGGCGGAACGGGAAGGCGGGAAGTCAAGCAGGCCAAAATAGAACGCGAGGGGAAGCGGAGGGAGGGAGGGAGGGAGGCAGGGGGCTCCCCTCTTAAAGGGCCAGGGCGCGCAGAATGGGCGGGGGTGCTTCCTCTGCAGCGCTCCCGCCCCTCCCCTCCCCTCCCGGCTCTGGCTGGGCTCAGCGCGCGGCTCCCCCTCCCCAGTCTCCTTGGACAAAGGGAGGGATCTTCAGACAAAGGGACTGCGCTCTGGTGCGGGAAGGAAGGAAGGAAGGAAGGAAAGGCAGGCCCGGGGGCCTCGCCTTAGCTGCCTCCTTCCCTTCCTTTCTTCCTCGCCCAGGCGCCTTCCAGGCCCCTCTTAGGTCGCGGGGAGTGGAAAGGCCACTCCACCTCACCCCCGAGAATGCAGAGGAGGGGGAATGCCTCCCCATTGTTTAAAAGCTCACGAATAATATATAATACCAACGGTAGGGGTGCCATTGATTCCGCCACTGTCCCCCCCCCTCCCCCTTGCTGACTCTCTTGTGTCGCAGGGTGCATCTGCCTTGTAGAAATAATAATGCAGTTTGACACCACTTTAACTGCCATTGATTCAATGCTATGGGATCCTGGGGTTTGTAGCTTTATCACATCTTGAGCCTTCTCTGCAAATAAATAAATAAATAAATCCCGTTGCTTCACCAAACTACAAAGATACTCGCAGGAACACCTCAGCAAACGAGTGCAAAAATGGCAGGCTAAAAGACAGCACCTCAATCCATGGCTGATACTAAATGAGAGACTCCCCCCATGGCACACAGAAGACTGGGCAACTTGGAAGGTGCTGAACAGACTGCGTTCTGGCACCTCAAGATGCAGAGCCAACCTTAAGAAATGGGGTCACAAATGAGTCCACGACATGGGAGTGTGGAGAAGAGCAAACCACAGACTACCTATTACAATGCAGTCTGGGCCCTGCCACATGCACAGTGGAGGACCTTCTTATAGCAACAGCAGAGGCACTCCAAGTGACCAGCTACTGGTCAAAGGACATTTAGTATAATGCCAAGTTTTAAGCTTTGTGTTTTCTCAAATACATCACAACTGTACCCTTGGTTAGCTCCTGATATGATAAAATAAAACCAAACTACACATTTTAGGATTCCATCGCATTGATCCATGGCAGCTAAAGTGGTATCAAACTACCTAAATTCTACAGTGTAGCTCAGTCATGAGCAAACTTGGGCCCTCTAAGTGTTTTGGACTTTAATTCCCACAATTCCTGGCCTAAGGCCCCTTCCTTTTCCCCATCAGCCTGGTGTAGATGCACCTTCAGACACCACCATTACCAAATATTCGGTGAAGTGTTTGTCTTCCATATACATGGTGGCCATGTATAAATATGTGAGGGGAAGTCATAGGGAGGAGGGAGCAGGCTTGTTTTCTGCTGCCCTGGAGACTAGGACGCAGAACAATGGCTTCAAACAACAGGAAAGGGGATTCCACCTGAACATGAGGAAGAACTTCCTGACTGTGAGAGCTGTTCAGCAGTGGAACTCTCAGCCCTGCAGTGTGGTGGAGGCTCCTCCTTTGGAGGCTTTTAAACAGGCTCTGAATACGATTTTCCTGCTTCTTGACAGAATGAGGTTGGACTGAATGGCCCACAAGGTCTCTTCCAACTCTTTGATTCTATGCAAAGCTTAGCTTATTTAATTCTTGTGGCACAGTAGCAAAGCCTGTTAAATCAGGCAGCAATCCAAAAGTAACCCCTATAAAGTGAGTTTGAATATACTTCCTCCAGAGGACATGAGTAGAGTTGGATCTTTCAGACTTATGCTATGGGTCTCTGAATTCGGTTGTTCCTTTCTATGAATGTACCCGATGTGTGCGCACGCTTTCAAGTGGTCTGTCACCTTATGCTGACACCATGAACTGCATAGGGTTTCCTTAGGCAAGGAATACTCATGAAAAGATTTGGCCATTTCTTTCCTCTGAAGCCACCTACAAATACAAACTCTAAAACCCTCCTCCTGCCTCTCCCCCGCACCCCACACTGGTTCTACTGAGAAATCCCCCACAGCCCTTATTCTCCTATGATCTCAGATCAGGTTTCCTCCCTACCACAGGTAATGTCTTTCAGTCCTGGTCTGCAGCCCACCCCCACCCTTCCCTTCATATCCCAGTCCTGCCCAGGCCAATGGGGCCGCCTTACTCCCCTTTGCAAGAAAGAAATGCAGGAGGAGGATTTGGGCAGAAGCCAGAAAAGCAACATGGGGGAAGGAGGGGGGGGGGGAGAGGCATGAATCAACAGCTGCATTCCAGCCCTTAGACAAAGAACGCTGCCTTCAAGCAAAGCACAGTGGTGCTGCTTCAAGACTTTTTTGCTTTATAATTGATCATCCCTGTCTGTGTGAAAGGGAATTGCTAGTAAAATCTCCAAATTGACTCCATCGTCCCACCTTTCAATATGTTCAGAATATGCTGAATACATTCACAAAGTGGAATTGTCATAAACACACTGAATTGCATAAAAGCAAACATTCAACCACACACTCTTGTAAGTATGTGCGCGCACACGCACACGCACACACACACACACACACAACCCTGGCATACAAGATGTAACTAATTTTGTAAAATTTCAAGTGATTAAATATTTTATCTTTGTTCAGATCCATGAAGTGAAAGACAGATTTCTACTATCCCAAGGCTTGTGTAACAAGCCAGCGTTTAGAAAGGTCACCGCAGATGCCTAAAGCAATAGAGTGAGAAGTGATTTGGTAACATGCCTCAGCAGCCCCCCTGCTCTGGCTGCAGGCTACAATGGGAAGCTGCCAACTACTACGGAAATGCATACAACAGAAGACGTTTGCCTAGAAGAGCATTTCTACTGTATATTAATTAGCTTCAGTCCCCAGTCCTGAAAGCCGTTCTTCTTTTAACTAGTTATTAAAGTTCACGTTGCTCTTTCTGAACAAAACTGTTTCTTCCTTCAGCAGGACAAACAGCCCAAGCAGTCTGGGATGTACAGTGAGAGCCGACAAAAGAGAATTATTAAGCTGAGAGCTAAACTGGAATTCAAGCGGAATGCACTATTAGCACACAAAGACAATGTGGCATTGTAGCCAAAGATCTTTCCCAACAATAATTTTATTGACATGTCAAAATGAGTTCTTCCAATACTTTTGCAACACCACAGTTTGTGAGAGTGGATCTGCATTGCCTGAGAAAATGGTCCTCTGTCAACAGGGAGGGCAGTTCTCCTTTGCAAGAAGAAGTCTGAAAAAGAACGGTTAGCGCTTCACCAAGGAGGAGACATGGGCTGGGGGTTCTGAAGATAGGACATCACTACAGCAGAGATAGACAACCTGGAGGAAGGAGAGAGAGAAAAATACAGAGAAAAGAATCAGAACAGAATGCACAAAATTATAGAGGAAGTAGCTATCCAAATAGTAATGGCAACCAAACTCTACATTTGATCTAAGAATTCTAAAGCATGTGTTCAGAATGGAAAAAAAATTATGTGATGTCTCACCATACTTGATGAGAAACATGTGCATTTTGCATATGCCTAGAGCAATATAAAAGCAGGAAATTAGTCCCAGCACTGGAAAAATGCAGAAGGTAAATGAAGGAAATAGAAGCAGTGCAAGCAACTACAACAACCGGTTGGCATCCTATTTACTAGTTTCTGAGATCCTAAACTGCAAGGCATCTCGCCTGCTGCCTTTCTCAATATGCCCTACAACTTGGAGAGTGCTATAAGCACCATTTCCCAGCATTCTGATCTGTAGCGCCTCAAAAATCCTTCCTTTAGCATTGCCAGGCTGAAAAGGTAGGTTCCTTCAAAGTATACATTTTAGGAGAAGAACACATTATTTCAGAAAGTGAAGTGAAAACTGCTCTCAAAACATTTCAGATAAATAAATTAACAGATCCATTTCAACCTTTAGAGACTGTATCAATGCAAATTCTAAAAATAATCTGCCAACGAATAAGAAAAACTAAACAATGACTTGATGATTAGACCTTTCAGCATACAGCACAATATCCAAAACCCATAAAACCAGGGATTGTAGCAGCCATGAGACAACTATGCGAATCTCCCATGCAAGCAGGTGGTGTTAAAGTAAGTTATTGAAATAAGAGAGAGATAGAAATTTTCAATCTGCTGGATGCAGGAAAATAAAAAACTAAAGGAGGGAGAAAAGGGAGCAATGAATGAAATGATTTAGAAATTAGGTGCCTTGATCTGCCCATGATAGCCCATTGGTCTTTTTGCATTCCTCAGAATGCTAGGAAATGGCTTCAGTAAAGGAAGAAGTGCTCAACAGCAAAAGATTTACACCAGTGGTTCCCAACCTTTTTTTTTTTTTTTGACCAGGGAGCACTTGTCCAAGGTCCACTCTTCTACATGAGTACCAAAAGGGTTACAAATCAGCTTTTTGTCAACTTTAGATTTGGTTTTGTTATTTGGGATGCTGATTCAGAAAACTGCATTGGATAGATCACATCAGCTCTAGTTTCTGATACAGAACATGTGCCATCCAGTAGTTGCCATCTCCTCACCCACAGAAAACTATGTTTAATAAACCTTGGCACTATAAGAGGGTTTCACGAGACCAGTTGGTCTCATTGCAACAGTGTATTAACGGTGAGGCCGCGGACCATATTTTAGTTCTTGCAGACCACTGGTGGTCCATGGACCACAGGTTGGGAACCACTGATTTGAGAGGCTCTGGGAAGGCCCTTCTCTTTGTCCCACCACCCTCACTGGTACATCTGGTGGGAATATGGAAGAGGGCCATCTCAATGGCTGCTCCTAGGAACTCCCATCTCAAAGAGGCTAAACTAGCACCCTCCTTGCTATCTTTCTGCAGGCAGGTGAAATACCATTTTTGTTTTGAAAGGCCTTTGAAGACAGATTGCTAAAGGGGAAAGACCCTTGCACAATGTGTTTGATTTTCTATGGTCTGTTTTCATTTAAAAGTTTATGTTTTAAATATTTTTAATAATTATATCACTCAATTTTTGTATGTCCTGAATGTTTAGCTATGTTTATTTGAAATCCTCCTTGGCCATGGAAACCCACTGGGTGACATTGGACAACTCACACTCACAGCCTCAGATAAATGGCATGGCCACCTTCCTTCCCCATTAACCTTGTGATAGCTTTGCTTCGGGGTTACATTAAGTCAGAAGTGACTTGAAGATACACAATGACAGCAACAACAAGAGCAAAGCAAACACTGATAGAATGTATTTGCTTCTTTGCAAATGTGCTTCTAGAGCAATCAAACATTTCTCACTAGAAATTGTTTTTTTTAGTAAATCAAACATTTATTTTTAGAAATTACTAAACTGAGGCTTCAGACACACTATGAGACAATCTGACACACTGAAAAATGACAATAATGCTAAGTAAAGTTAAGTAGTAGGAAAAGAGAATGGATTGATTCCACTGAGAAAGCCATAGCCCCAAATGTTCAAGATAACAGGGGCAGAGGTACCAGGATAGATTTTCAAAAGGAGGTTATAGAAGCTTCACAAGCTAGACAGTCACAAAGGACCTTGAGAATTTTGGTATTGTCAATAACTGGCAGTACAGCATGTGTACAGAGAAGAGACTAGACAAGTATATCCAGGATATCTACTACTCTATTAGTCTGATTATAGTGCAATCTCATCTCTGCTGCAATGGAAGGCTCTTTCATACACATGCTGGTCCTTACAAACAAATTATGACTCTGGGAAACCAGGGTTCTTGCACAGATGCTAATGAAAGCACCCAAAGCTTTAAAGACTGTACACAACTCGACTGTGCATCACAACATATTAAAACCCCAGCCCCATCACTTCTACCCCGTGGTCACTTTTGCTTCAATCACGATCTACCATGTTGCCCTATTGGGGGCATACACATAGTGGAAAAATTCAAAGTAAACATAAGCATTGACAGTTGCTATAATAATTCTGCCACGGAAGTGCCAAGTTTCTCTTCTAGTGGTGATGATGGGGAGGGAAAAGCTCTTTTCAGCAGCAGTATAACATAGCAAGCATTCTGGGAAAGTATTCAAAAGAAGGAAAAATCCAAGCCAGCCACTTTGGTATTATCACAGTACATACAGAAGAAAATGAGGGCATGAATAGGCATTATCTAAGTCAAAAAATAATGGCATATAGTGAAAGAGGAAGTCAGACTTTCCATGTGCAATAACATTACTGTGAGTCATTGGGCTCCAATGGGGTTCAGTTCCAGGACCCTCAGAGATACCAAGATCCCTGGATGCTCAAGCCCCACTACATGCAGTGACATAGTAAAATGCTGTCCTTTACATAAAATGGGAGGAACATTAAGGTTTACTTTTTTGGATAACAAAAAAAATGAAAGCGCAGATGGTTGAATTATTGGATGCAGAATTTGTGGATATGGAGGCTGCTTAGTAAAGGTGTATTTTACTTCATTGTTAATTTAAAAAGAAAATTTGACACCTTTGCATACTATTTTTTATTTATTTATTTAATACACTTGTATACCGCTAATATCTCAGCCTAAGTCGGCGACTCATTGCGGTTTACAACAATTAAAAACAATATACAATTTAAAACAACAACACATAGACAATACATAAATTATTGGGCCACCAATAATAATACCATGTATCTCGTCACTAAAATCACAGTCCAGAATTCGTCATCCATAATTAACCAGTCCTTAGTCCATAAAATTCGGTGATAACAAACTAACCGAATGCTTGTTTACACAACCATGTTTTTAATCTCTTCCGAAACACCATCAGCGAAGAGGCTGATCGTATCTCTATAGGGAGGGTGTTCCAAAGCCGAGGGGCCACCACAGAAAAGGCCCTGTCTCTCGTTCCCGCCAGCCGCGCTTGGGAAGCCGGTGGGATAGAGAGCAGGGACTCTCCAGAAGATCTTAGGGTCCTGGTGGGCTGATAGGCTGAGATACGTTCGGGAGCTCTGGCGTAGGCTGGTCCATGAGGTCACGAAGAGTCGGAGACGACTGAACGAATGAACAACAAAGCAGATTGGTAGCCAGTGGAGTTGGCGCAACAGGGGGGTTGTATGCTCCCTGCGCTCCGCTCCTGTCAACATCATGGCTGCCGAGCGTTGGACTAGTTGGAGCTTCCGAGCCGTCTTCAAAGGCAACCCCACGTAGAGAGCGTTGCAGTAGTCTAAACGGGATGTAACCAGAGCGTGGACTACCGTGGCCAAGTCAGACTTCCCAAGGTACGGGCGCAGCTGGCGCACAAGCTTTAACTGTGCAAATGCTCCCCTGGTCACCGCCGAAACCTGGGGTTCCAGGCTCAGCGATGAGTCCAGGGTCACACCCAAGCTGCGAACCTGTGTCTTCAGGGGGAGTGCGACCCCATCCAACACAGGCTGTAACCCTATGCCCTGTTCGGCCTTTTGACTGACCAGTAGGACCTCTGTCTTGTCTGGATTCAATTTCAATTTGTTCACCCTCATCCAGAACGTCACAGTGGCCAAGCACCGGTTCAGGAACTGGACAGCCTCCAGGTTATAATCATTTTCTGTGGCAACTGGTAGATGCCATATGTTCTGTATCTCAGAAACTGGAGCTGATAGGGGGAAACTGGTCTTTGGACTTGGCAGTTGTCAACTATACCCAGAAACAGGGCTAACATTTGAGGCACCCAAATGTGTGTCAGCCAATGGAACATACAGCCCGAAAAACTTATAGCAACCCAGTGTAATAATAATAGGCACACTTTCTGACCTTTAAATGAACAACATCCCTTACCTACATCCCCAGAGTCATAGTTCAGAGTGTTTTTAATTTGTTTTAGCTTTCAAAGCAGGTTTGTTTTTATTTTGTTTAGACAATGTATGGGTTCATTCTGGGTATTGTTTACTTTGTACACCGTTCTGAGATTCCAATGCAAAGGACAAAAGCAGAAGTGTTTAAATAAATACATGGAATGGATGCAGCCATCTGGGCATCAGCCAGGCTCAGTCTTGCCACATCAAGATATCATTTTGGGGAAGTTACTTTTGGGAGGCTACAGCTTTTGGAGTATTTATGCCACCTGGTGGATTCTGGGAGTTACAGCTAAAAGTATAACTTTCTGAAGTGTTGGGCTCAGTAGGCTCAGTAGGAACCCAATGACATGGATCAAGAGAAAGGACAAGTGAGTTACAAGGCAAAAAAATGTAACTTTTCAAAGCCCAGCTTCAAACAATGTCTATGGAAGTTATCTCTGCAAGATTTTGTCTTCCAAGCCTTCCTCCTATAGACATAAAAGCTAGAGACATAAAATTCACACTATTTAGTTATAGCACCATTATCCTACTTTGCTATGGTTTCATCTTCAGCTCAAGCAGGGAGCTTTGAGATGGTTGAATAGAAGCTTTCCTAAGCTCTAGGTCAGCTGGTAAACTGGCTAGGATTTCTGGGAGTTGTAGGCCAAAAACATCTGGGGACCCCAGGTTGAGAACCACTGCTCTAGGTGCTCTTACTGCCTATTACAGGGAAAACCAGCTGATCCCTAATCCATCTAAAACACAAACATGTGCCTTTCACCTTAGAATCATAGAATCATAGAATCCTAGAGTTGGAAGAGACCTCATGGTCCATCCAGTCCAACCCCATTCTGCCAAGAAGCAGG